ACTGGCTGGCTTTGCGGAGGGAAAGTGTTGTGCTCAAGTCTATTGTGCTCAGCGTAAACTTCTTTTCTATAGGATATTAATGCAACCCTTCTGTGGCCAGCAAATGCCGTTTCTTGAAAAGAGAAGGCTAAAATGATATTGAAAGTGAGGTACTTTTAAGCCCCGGGGACCTATAGCTGAAAGGGCTCCTGTCAGATTTTTGAATAATGAAGAGCCTTGCCGCTCCCTTTCCCTTCGCTTCTTAAGAAATTAACTTCAGAATTCATCTACATATAAAAACAAATTGCAGATGTTTTGTGAGTCTTGTCAAGTAGTGGCCTGCATTTGAGAGAATGGAAGCAGGAGCAAATACATATCTGGATAAAAGAGGAAGAAAGAGCTGAACTGATATGCATATTTTTCTTCTTTTTCCGGAGAATTCAAATCCCAGCGAATAAAGGCTCATGATTTGGTTCCATAAAGGACATTTGAAAAGGATATTATATTGCTGGCCCGTCTTTAAAATGCTTCTGTTGCTTAAAAAAAAAGAAGAAAAGAGTTGACCTGTGGAAGTCATTAGCATTTGTAAACCATCTCAAGCCTTTGGCCTTTTCAGAGGATTTGAAGGCGCAAAAATGAGATATTGGCCCCATAGTTACACCCAGAGGCAACAGATCCTATAAAGGCCGCACCTTCCTAGATTGCAGGCAAAGGGCCATACGACTGGAAGCTCATCGTCACAGCTTTTAAAAATACATTTCTCACATGTAAAGTGGCATGACTAATAAAAGGCCAGCGGTAGGATTAGGTGCACCTTAGATTAGTACCCAATTAAGCACCCTGTCAATGAGATTTGCTCTCCCTTGATCCAGAAAAAGAGCTTGGCACAGCTAAAGATTGAAAGCTACAGGTTTGTGCCGTGAGTTGTATAAGCCAGAGCAAAATCATCTGTGGTCCAAGACGGATAACAAAAAAAAAAATCCGAACTCTGTTTTTCAGGTGAAAAACAAGAGGAGGGTGTTTATAAAAATAAAAAAAATACAATGGGCCCTTATTGTTTGGGCTTGCTTCACGTCATTGATTTGAAATGATTTCTCCCGCAGGAATTTTATTTAAACCCCAATTGCTAGATAAATTAACCGAGAAAGACGTGGTGATAGTATGGGTTGTGATATTGCAGAGTTATTTCGAAGCATGCTCCAGCTTTATAGCGGAGAGTTATGCTACAATCAAGGTCAAAGCGGGCACGAGGTTAGCTGCTTCAGTCTACTTGATGTGCCCATTTTGTTATGTAGATAGCTGCTCGACTCTTTCTTCCCCCTTGCTAACTCCTGTCAAGAGGTGCCCTTTCAGAAGCTGCTATTTTCATCTCAAGACAAGCTTCAAGCGCAGCAGAGTGAAGGATTGCTGCCTTGATATACAAATAACAACTTGCAACAGGCAGGGCAAGGAAGTTCTCTTCTCTGCCCTCAATGGTCTTGAGGCAGCTCAGGGTTTACATAATCGAAATGCAATCCCACTGCNGCTTCATAGGGCTTTCAGCCCTCTCTAAGTGGTTTACAGAGTCAGCATATCGCCCCCAACAATCCGGGTCCTCATTTTACTCACCTCGGAAGGATGGAAGGCTGAGTGAACCCTGAGCCGGTGAGATTTGAACTGCTGAACTGCTGAACTAGCAGTCAACTGAAGTGGCCTGCAGTACTGCATTCTACCCACTGCGCTACCTCGGCTGTTATAATACATTTAATATACTTTAGGAAACTAGGATTTTCTCCTGGTTTATTTTTTGGTTGAAAATGTTACCAAGATGGCTCCAGTAACTATAGGAAGCCTCCAGAACATTATAAAATGTAGCACAGGGATAATTGGTGGAATTCCCTCCACTCATCTCAGTATGACTGGCTGGGGAATTCTGGGAGCTGAAGTCCACAGATCTTAAAGTTGCCAGGATTGGACACTGCTCATTTAAACTAGCTGGGTCCTTCTGTTTACCGAAGGGCACATTTAGATACTGTCTATTTTGAATATGCTAATTCAATTTAAAATAATTTCCCTGAAATTATTAATGAAGCTATTATTACACTTTATTCCAGACAATGTTAATTTGTAGGAGCACTAAAATAGAACATGCATGGTCACCAATACTCAATGTAAATTAATAATTTTGTAGAATAAGATATATTAATTGAGCAATGTATAGAAGTATTGTTTTATTACACTTTTATTATATTTATTTTAAAAGACTGCAGCCTTTTAGCTAATCTAACCTTCTTCTAAAAAGTGCTTTGTTGTCTAATGAAGAGAGATAATTATAATACATATGTAATATAATTGTGACATTATTAAGGACAAAGATTTTAAACAGTTGGATACATTTTAAAATAAACAAATAAGCAGTGCAAATGTTTTTTTTTAATTTAAGATTCTCTCTGTGCCAATGCATCTGGTATCCTGCAGGTTTGAATTAAAACAAACATGGTTTAGCGTGATGTCTGATTCAAACAAACGATAAGATAGCATCCTTAGATTATACAGGGTTTCATTGGCATTGTAGCTTCAGAAGTTTCCCATACATTGTCCAAAAAGTGACAAAGAAATGCAAATCATCAGTTTTATGTTTCTCATTGTGTCTGGTTAAGCCTGCAAAACTGGATTTGGATCAAGGCTGTACCACCAATTATTAAATAGATTATATTATTTGGCAAAAATTGAGTCTTGGGTCGTCTTATTCCTAGGGCCCTGTTGTACTCCAAGCATCCCTGACAATTATTTGCCTTAGGCCACACCAGTTGACAGATAGGGGTCATTTTGGGGTCAGGCATGCAATTTAGGCAAAAGAATTGGTAGTAAGATTCACAGGGACCCTTGGATCACAGTTCCAAGGATCTTTTTCTAACCAGACAATAGCAAGAAAACAAAAAAACAAAAAACAAAAAATATCCCCGTGCTTGAACCTTGAAGAGTTTTAAGTGAGAGGAAAACGATGCTTTAAAGCAGGAATAGAAACCATTTTGGTTAATTTAAGGAAAACCTAGCAAAAGGTCTTAACTACCTAACGGTAAAGCTGAGCGATGCAAATAATATAATACGAAGCTTATGCTCCATCCTTCATATTTTAGAGGAAATCAATGATTCTCCAAATAGAATTTTTTTTTTGTACCTTCAAGTTTATTCTTCTCAATAAAACAATTTTACAGTGCAAGTCTACATTTAGTTAGTTAGTCAGTTTTTAAGGTCACCCAATCAGAAACAGCTCTGAGCAACCTTTAAAAATAACACCATGATCAGTAAGGTTTACTCGTACTGAGGATGAGTCAGTATATTTGGGGCTGACTTGTGAATATACAACTATGCTGTAAAACCCCTTCCTCAGTTCAACTTAAAAGTTACCTCGATCATCATGCATACACTTTTCTGGGATGTTGACATGTTATGGATAATTAATATGTTAATTACTTTTATTTCAAATGCAGTAGGAATTCTGTTTCTTTAAAATTCAAATGGTAATAGCTGATCTGTTAAACTAAGTTTAAGCCACTATACCAATGAAACCAGGAAAGTTTGCTGTCGGTGCTGCTGCTGGCTCGCTTCGTGCGCGCTTCGCTGCACGCTTCACTGTGCGTGCATGCGCAGTTGACTAAATTATTCTGCGCATGCGCAAAACATGAAAAAAATATTCAAAAACCATGCTGGCAACGGCAGTGGTGACTGGGGAACTGGTTCGGGAACGTGGCCAGCCTGGGTCGATGCCGGTTCTGCGAGCAAGGCCAAAATACCACTGCCAGTTCACCTGAACCAGTGCAAACCAGTAGCAACCCACCTCTGAATGAAACCTTGTATAATCTAAGGATGCTATCTTGCTAAGTGCCTTGGTTTAATAGATAGTATTAATAGATTAATACTATTAATAGATCTATGATCTATTAAGCCAGGCTGGATTAGCAGACTTCCAAGGTCCCTGCCAACCCTATTATTCTATGTTCTATGATCTGCTACCTAAAGTAATTTAAGTTAGCTTATACATCATAGGCCTTTAAAAACTTTGCCACTCTTGCAGTAAAATACAGTGGGACTGAGATGGATGCATTTCCAAGCTTGGAAAATGGATCGTCACTCTTCAGACTTCAAGAGTGGAGGAATCCTTTTCCTAATGAAAAAAAGAAAAGTAATCCAGTAGGAAAAAAAAAAGCTAGGAATGAAACATTTTCCTCAGATATGCTACTGATTTTATATAGAAGCAAAAAATATTGTGTTAGTGAGACTCATTGGAAAGTGTATTTCAAAGCAGTGGAAAAGACTAGAATTCACTTTCAGCTCATCTTCACATCCGGAGATGTCGCGTTAATTATTTTTAAAGGGCATGTCTACATGTTTCATAAATACTTGTAAATAAATCGCATAATAAAAAATAGCTGTGGTCCAAGCCTGTAGGAAAGTATCTTAAATCATATTTTTCTGCTTCAGTCTTAAAAGTAGAATTTCCCCTCCTTTTCCAACAAAAAGTCTTTATTGGACTGGATGAAGATTTCTAGACATATTGGGGCATTTCCAGATATTGTTCTCAAATGGCACACTTAATTGTACTTATATGTTGACTCAATCTCATTGTTTCATATTAAAATATGAAGAGAACAAATGACAAATTCAAGGACTTAATTCTTTAGAATGATGCTCCCCTATGTTTGAAGAAGAGACCCTCTTGATTTACTTTCAGAAACACTTATGGTGACCCTTTCTCTTTCTTTGATGAGTCAAAGCTGGGAGATAGTAGGTGGAAAAGGGGACTTGAGAAGGTGTCTGAGCTGGATGATTGAAATAGCAACACATGGAGCCCTTGGCAAGCTTCAACTTGCATCAGGCTTCAAAAAGAGGGCCTCTTCTTTTGGTTTAGGGTTCAAACAAATCTCTACTCTGCTAATTAAATGTCCTACATGAAACTGCACTATACTTTTCACTCTTTCACGTTTCATTAACATTCATATGGAAAATATTTGTGAACAATTTGTTCCTGCCAAGGGAAGGTACAATTTAACAGATTTCCCTCTATTTAGATGTGAAATCGAGGCCACCTTAGAAAGGCTGAAGAGATTGGAACGTGATCTGAGCTTTAAGGAACAGGAACTCAAGGAAAGGGAAAAACGCTTGAGAATGTGGGAGCAGAAGCTAACTGAACAATCCAACACACCGGTAAGTACTGTTGTACAGTATATAGTTTTTGTTTAAAAATGGAATCAGAAAATCCAACAAAACCTTGAATCTAAGAAATGTCTTAAGCTACACTTGCACTAATATGGTAGAATTATCACATTTTCCTGCTTTGAACTGTGTAAGTGACCATGTTTTGTTAGACATGTCTTTTAAAACTGATTTCATTTAAAACTGTTGGGAAGTATAGGTGAAAACTTTGAGAAATAAAGCAACCTTATTATAATGCTTTATTAAAGTCTAAGTAAATTATTCTTAAATTTGCATTGAAGATAAGGTATTATCCATCTAAATTAATTTGGCATATGATAAATTTCAACGCAATAATCTGGAACTTATTCTCAGATAAGCCGATGTTGGATTGCAATCTAGAGTAAACGCCATTATTCTCTGGGTCTTGTCTTACAGCTAGCCATATATATATATAT